CAAGGGATCTGACACAGGACCTGAGAGATGGATCTGCCCCGTCAGTTGAGCCATCTAATATTTACTAAAGTCTCATCAGAAGTGGTCTCAGTAGGAGGCTGCCAGTCAAGGAGCCATTCTTAAGGAAGGGGGGGAAAAGGTAGAAAAGGCTGAGGTAGCCCAAACTACACAAGAACTGGACTGAAAATCAGTGCCAACAGGTCTGATGAAGTGATGAATCAGAGTTTGAAATTTTTGGGTCATGTCGTCATCAGTATGTATTAAGGTTGTCTCGAGAGAAGTATGCGTCTGCAGCCATCTGTAAAACACAGTGGAGGTACTATATCACAGTTTGGGGTTGCATTTCCGCTGGTGATGTTAGGATCTCATCAAAGCTGTATTATGACTTATCGACACATAAAAAGCACCATGAGATTTTGATACACCACGCAACACTGTCTGGAAAGTGTCTTGGGAACAGCGCTACTTACTTTATGACTTTGCTTAAATAGACTGATGACTGGTGACTTGTACAAATTAAGCCATGTCATTTATAAGATGAAAAACAGAAAACACTTTCAGTGTAAGGCATGATTAAAGGAAAAAAAACTAAGCACCTTCCGTGCTCACAAAACGAGGTTAACTGATGCAGACATCAAGATCATGATAATACGCCTGTCTCATCTTTATATCTCACTGATATTTTCCACTTATGGGCCGGCCCACAGATGCAATGCTTTAATTCCAACCAAGCTTTGGTGGTTTATTTTTACGTGTCAACGAGAGCGAAGAGTGAGCCAGCGACGTTATTGTGACAATGTGTCTCACTGGTGTAAACTCTGGTTTGGTGATAACCGATGGTTCTAGAAGCACACTCCACTGGGTAGTCAACACGATCTCACCTAGACCTTGAGGAAAAGTACCAACATCTGGGGAGAAAAAAAAAAGATGCACACACACAAACAACAACAACAACAAAACTATACATCCCCAAGTCCCTGGCTCCATCCATCTTCCTGCTGTCACCTGAAATGGGATCCGAGGGTAAGGTGACCCCTGCGCCATAAAGGAACAAGGGGAGCCATGTCACTTTGTAAAAAAACCTCCGCTCAACCATCTGGCACAGAGATAATAGAGCTGGAGGCAGGTGAGAGTCAGTGCAGAGGGAGAGGGCTTCAGTCTCCTTGAGCGTGCAGTTTCATTGTAACCTACCAATGAACCCGTCCTGAAAATGAGCCATTCTTTACATCGAATTGCATCCATTATATTGTCCCTGAGAACAAGAGAATTTCAGGCATGAAAACCAATACAATAGAGACGAAAGGCATGAAATTCTCTTGGGAAGTGGGAGCTCCGGCGACACAGTGGGTGCCATTGTGCCGTAAACTTTTGCACACCCCCCCCCCCCCCCTCGCCTGACTCCCGACGTGGTTTTCCGCCTCTGTTTCTGCTGCTTTAGCAGCGATGATAAAAACAGGCGAAAATAAGACACACGGTAAAGTCTGCTCATAGCGTAACAGTCCAGTCTTCAGGATGATCTTTCTTTTGTGCCGGAAAGATGCAAGAGAAGACTGTGGCTGAAATGTGCCGGGCAAGCAGCAATGAAATCCAAGGCTAAACACACACACACACACACACACACACACACAGATATATATTTATCATTGAAGGCATGAAGCAGCAACCTTGGTAAATATTTTAATAACTTAGGTCAATATAACTGAGAGAAAAGGCCAGCCACTGGGTATCAAGAGAAATCTAAGAGGTCTTAGAAAAAGAAATCTAAATCTTGCGCACACAGGCTTCACACATCTTTTTCTAATCCTTCTTTCTACAATGCTTAAAAGGTCACTCTGATATCAAAAGAAATTACACCTCCTCAGACTTCGTTTCCATCTTCAGTCTGACATTTTCTCCTATTCATCTGTTTTTTTGGGGTGGGGGGGTGGGATTTGTCCCACCCGCCCCGAGTCAGTCACTGAAGATGTGTGTGTTTTGAAAAAGTAATTTTAATTTAACACTGAAGTGCAGAAATACCATTATAGTGGTTTCGCAGGAGTTATGAGAGCAGTGTTCGATCGGAATAGGGTGAAGCCGGCAATCGCACGCGTTCTGTTTGTGATGATATGACAATTCGCTGAATACAACCAGAGGCCAACCAATTAAGCGAAGCTCCCCGTTGCACACTTACTGATGCAGACCGACTCAGATTGTTTGATTGCAGACTGATTGGCTAATGTGTCATCAACGTTCATCAATTATTTGCAAACCTTCGCTAATCTGTCTGAGAGCGATTGGAATCAGCCCAAGTCAAACCAGGATTGTTTGGATGGTTGCTGTCATATTTTTATCCCAATGCAACTGAGCCATAAAGCATTGTGCAACTGGGCAAGGCCGGAGGACATTTCAATCCACTCGATAAAAATCAAGACGGGCTGCTCAGCTTGTGGTCGATAAACACTTTACATTTGTCAGGCTGACAGAGTCATAAACAAGGCTTTCAGTCCAAAGTTGCATAACCTTAAAACAATTAAGACAAACGTGATAAACGTCACATGAATGCTGCAGTATTTCACTGCTAAATAACAGCGTGACACTCAGGCTGGTTTGATTTCATATTTTTATTTAAACTTCTATTTTCAAGGTAAACATTGCCACAAAAAGGACAGCTGTCATCATATTATATGCATTTATATATAAAGCCAGTTTTCCCGTCTGGGAATAATCAAAGTATAGTACCATTGCTTTTCTCTTTCGGTAATAGTAGTCATTTCAGCACTACTGCACTTTACATTTTGGGATGGTGAATATATATAAAAACAATATACATGAAAATAAATAACAATAAGTCCCTACTTAAACATGAAATAACGTAACCGGTTAAAGAGACAACGGTAATTATGCACAACAGGACAGGAGGTTTAATGGCCGTCCCCGGTTTAAGTATTTGCCTTGGGTTAGCATCAGGAAAAAAATGCTAATGACAAAAACAGGGTATGGAATAAATGAGCTGCAAGCAACAACGAAATCAGACGAATTAAAGAGTGATGCAGAGTGCTTATATCATCCGGGGACTGAAATTTAATTAAGCTGTACTTGAACGTGGGGGGTGGGGAGGGATATTAAACAGCCGGCAACACTGTAACTCCTGCATACTGATGATGACAACAGAGTTTTCTCTCTCTTCATTTCTTCAATTCAAAAGCGCAAATGTGTCAAAAGCTGTTGTACACTGAGAACAATGTACGCCAAAAGAAAAGAAAAACAGTTTATGAGATAATCGCGTGTAAAATCAACAATAATAGGACATTTGAAGATGAGTGGCAGGTGTTGAGTCACAGCAGGTTTTTAGTATTCAGTGCAGAAGTAAATGGATGTTCATCAGAGCAGTGTAACATGTGTCTGCATGTTTTAAGTGACCTATTGAATTAGCCAATGCCAGCGTCCGGAGCTCCTCGTGATATCACAAGTCAGCATGTGCTGAACCAAATGAAGCAGCTCAGACGCTCCAACAGGTGTTCAGCGCAGGACTGAGTGAGCATGAGCATGAGCGGGAGCTACCGCAGGAACTGTAACCCAAGTGCAGGTGAAGCTTCACAGTGTAGAAGCAGAGAGATTATGAAGATACGAGGGAGAACGAGGTTGTGCTGCATGAAAAAGAAACACCATCCTCTACAAGGTTGAGGCACTTTCAAAGCAGCGTGAACATACTATAAAGGGTAATGCATACACACCTACCCAGAACACACACACACACACACACACACACACACACACACACCCACGTGCCGTCAGTTCCTTTTTCTGTACTGAACGGAGATGGAGACGTGCAATCTGCTGCAACGTGTCCTTCAGCCGGAGTCCATGCTGAACAGCTCGATCCCGTGTGGGCTCCAGTGGAGGCCGACTCCAGAGTTGAAGACCAGCGACCACACGTAGGGGATGAAGAAGTCCTCTGGCTGGTCCTCCTCCACATACTTGAACTTGAGCTCTGGGAATTTCTATTCACAGAAAACACCGGGCGAGAGAAAAGTAGGATGAGCAAGTCATAAAAAAGAAAATGCTGATGCAGAAATGTTTCCGCACAGAGTCTTTTCAAAGAAGATATTTTAACTTATCAGATCGGCAGTTTTCACGCAGTATGAACTCGACGCTGAAACTGCAGTTCCTCCAGTGGTCAGTGGACGCTCACTTTACATTCTCATGTTAAAAGCTACTTTCAGCTGCTCTGTTTTTCATGAGGGGGGTTCTTATATAGTGCCTTTATACTCTATTGCAGCATTCAGATGCTTTATAATACATGTATGTAGTTTATAGTTTGTCACATTCACCCATGGATTCATGCAAATACTTGTTTCTACATCTAATCTAACATTCACAATCTGAAGAATGCATTGGGAGCAACTCAGACTTCAGTATCTTGTAAAAGGCTACTTTGACATGCAGACTGGAGAAGCCAGGTCACCAAAATTCCGATTAGCAGATGACCTGCTCTACCTCTTAAACCACATGGCGCAACATTATCCCTATAAATTCCCAGTAAGTAAACATGTTCAGAGCCTGGTAAGAAATAAATGTTTTTGGAAATAGCTAGCTCTATTATTAGCACTAATTAAAAGTTAACTGTGTTGGTGAATGTAGCTTGCTAACTGATCTCACTCTTGTCCAAATATGGTCACTTTTGTCTCCAAAAAAACCGAAGACGCTGAGCTGAATTGCTTCATAAACCAACAGGTGGGGTCACGGTGGCTACATCTATCTTTTATATGCAGTTTATGCTTTAAAAAAACAAGACCTGAAGCAGCGTATTAGAGCTGCGCTACAGTAACGTGGTATTTGTTGTTTTTTTTCTTCTGTGGATTGCCAAACACAGCTCACTGAAGTAAAGTCCTTTTTTTTGGAGCTGGCTGTTGAATGAATGAATGACTTTCACATGAAGCAGAAAAGCTGTGCTACTCAAATCACTGTTAGTACCGTGAAATATGAGGAAGACCTCTTTGAAACCTTGACACTTCGCAGCAGTTTGTGAAGTGGGAAGAAGTTTTGCAAGCGCTCCTGGTTTGGTCAGGAAAAGTCTTCTTTTTATTTTTCCTATAAAGAGGAAACATTATCTGCACTTGGGGGAACTTCTCCACTTTGGGCTGACATGCTGTCTTTAGAAATAGCACAAAAATAAAATTCAATTGCAGCTCTGTTTAGTTTCATATCATCTATTTTTATATCATATCATCAGTGCGCCCCAGGGCAGCTGTGGCTACAACGTAGCTTGCCATTGCCAGTGTGTGAATGTGTGTGTGAATGGGTGAATGACTGAATGTAGTGTAAAGCACTTTGGGGTCCTTAGGGACTGAGTAAAGCGCTATATAAATGCAGGCCATTTACCATTTTTAATTGGTGCCCTTTTTAACCTCTCACCATAATAAAAAGTAAAACTGAACCTTTCAACCTTTCAATGAAAACTAATTTTAAGAGTTTAAAAGTCACAAATTAACAGATCGATATCTGACAAATTGAATGTTTTGTGTAATCAGTTATCATCTTGAACACCAGCTTTTTCCAAACCTTCTGGAAGCCCACCAACCAGACCAGACCAGACCAGACCAAAGCATGCATGAGCCAGCCCACCTGACAGCAGGTAGGCAGCCGGGGAAGCACATCAATAATACATAATGGTACCTCATTATATCCTCCTGTCTGCACATGCATGTATGTGCACACACGCGGCCAGTAATCAGTCTGTGGTGAAAGACAGATGCTGTGAGCCTTTATTTGATGGTCTGAGTCCAGTCTTTTCAATCCTGATTGGCTCCATTCAAGGCCTCACTATCGGTATCACAATGACACAGACCGAGGGGCTGTGGGGTCACAGGCCATATGCCAGGTTACTGAGGCTAAACTGTACACACACACACCACTCCCATTGTTGATGGCCAGACACAATGCAGGAACTGTATTATCTGAGTGGCATGGGTGTGTAGGTGACTCCCTCGTAGCATAACGACTCATCCGGCGTTCACATGACCTTGTTGGTGACAGTTGCTCCACACATTCAGGCCTTTACTTGTAAGCTTAGAGGAAGAAATACAGCCTTTAATTTTTCATTTTGATTGAAAATAGTTTTCTTCAGCAGTGTCGTGTTTACAAGCATGAACAGACGGCAGCCGAGCAGATTAATACCCTGCAGCAACCACCGTGATATATGAAAACATATGAAGCACAACCAGTTGTGCTATTAGGCAATTAGGTTAATCAAAGCATAAACCAGCAGACACAGCTATGTCAACATAGGTTTGAAACAACACATGTTACAGCATCAGCATCAACCTATTTTTACTCGTAAAGCATTATGTGTACATGCGCAATCAATGTTAACACCTCTAAAACGAATCCTCTATATGAGCAAAATACGGCATAAGCGCCTTTTTTCATCGAAACCAGACACACATAAGACACTGAGGCTACTTTGGTAAACGCTTGCTTAAACACTCTGAATATAAGTAGTTCTCCATCATGAGCCCTGAACACAGCAGTCACAGTTTAAAGAAAAAGGTAAAGAAACTCAGAGCTAAAGCACAAGCACACAAATGGTATTTACTCTAGCATTACTATACGGATTTGCATGCTTTATATCTGTATAAATACAGATATGAGTGGCTTCACTTCAGTATTAAACCCATAATTTATCATTTTCATGGCCTCATTGAAAGAATCTAAATTATTATTCATGGGAAGCGCAGAAACATCACCAATCATATTATAATTAGATCTTTACAAATCTCTGGCGTGCTTTTAGTATTGACACGCTAACATTATCACTACTTCAAAAATGGGTGCCACTGATGCAAAGGAACTCCTCTGTAATTATAGGAATAGCTCGGCATCCAATCTGTGTTTCTTGATATGGATGCGAGGATCAATACCAGACTCGTGCTTGTACTTTAAATCTAAAATTATAGTTAGCCATCTAGCTTAGATTAGAGTTTGTCCCAAGCTCAATAATAAACACTTACAGAGGAGAAGTTGCTGTTTTACAGTGATATCTCTGGTGGACAATCGCAATAACTCGACATGAATCTGCACAAACAAAGCCCTAAATATGTCTTACTATAACACACAAATCTCCACCTGTGTGTTTGTTTGTTTCTTCGGCTGCCAACTCCTACGCAATCAGGAGTTGAGCAACAAAACTTGGCACACAGGTACGTCTTAGGCCCCTGAAAGCACTTATCTATATCATATCAGACACGACATCCCATCTTGCCTAGTAACCACCTAGCAATAGGCTAGAATTACAGTTTTTAGCATGCAGGCATCTATAAAAAGCATCCTTACACTCCTATAGTTTAATTTCGACACCGTGGGAACTTAAAGTCCCGCACGCTCACATGACCAATTTCCCTAAATTTCACAAAGCCAGAAGAGGGAAAAATGACCCAGAATCCCAACGGCCGCCTTCTTCTTCTTACATCTATGTTCGAGAGCCCCACCAGGGTAATTGCCTTGCATATTGCAAGGCAATGGCAAGTGCCTCACAGCAAAAATGTTGCTTTCAGGCTTGAGTGAATTCTGGGGAAAAAATAACATAAAAATAAAATCAGAGCATCTCCAGACTGCCACATCCAGTAACTAATATTATCTCTGTCCCTTATTCTGTTCATACTGTCCCAGTACATATCTCCTCTGTCTCTCTGCTGACTTCCCCTCCCCTTCTCTGTTTTGTTCTCAGTCTGACTGCTGGCTGGGGCCCACTTGGCCCGGGCTCATATCAGTTAGTTATGGGTCCTGGCGGGTCAGGCCCTCGCCCCTGAACACAGACTGGCTGGCTGGCCTCATATCTTTACTTAGGACGCTGTGTTCCCTTTCCTCCACTGTGCTTTCGCTGACAGCGCTTTGCGGCCAGACACAGAAGAATGCGGCGAGGGAGCAAATAAGAACTTGATACACACAAACACACACATTTACATGCAGGTACACGCACAAACACTGAAAAGTCAGGTTTCGAAACGCTTTACAAATCTTTCACAAAAGTTGTGGGTTTTATATTCACATTCTGCTTTTTAGAGCCGTCCTTTGGGAAAGTTTAGTTCGTTTCATGGGTGTGTGATGTATCTGGAAGAACACCTTTAGTAATGTTAACTTTAGCAAGCACACTAGTTTGCTAACATAGCTCATGAGACTAGCTTGCACTTTGATCGTCCAAATATAAACAGGTTACATTATATCAATATTTTATTATGATATAAACTTTATATACATTTTTAAAAAACGATCAGTGGTGGAATTTAACTCTCGTTTGTCTCAAATAGTACGTTTGAGTTAAAAGTCAAAGTACTTATTTCAATCTCACATCACTTTATGCCTCTGTGACTTTCTCACAGAAAAATATTAATATACTGCGATCACCACAACTGTCTGAAAGCTTTAGCTAGTAATATTTATGGGCAATGTCCCATAGTGACAGCTGAAAATAAACTAAAAGGATATGATTCTTTTGTATGTTTCAGATAAAATGAAGGGTAAACTGATGTAGTAAATATCCTTCTGCTGATTAAATTTTTCTTTTTGGCAACATCATAATTTTCTTGACAGGGAAAGATATCCGAGGTGACACCAGATAGACTCCTAAGTCTTACTCTAAATGCTCAAACTGTATAAGACAGTTATTACAGATGATCAAATATGGCAAAAAGCCAGAATCAATAATCAATCAATAAATAAACAATAGCTCAACCTACAGATCTTGATGATTTTTTTTCTACATTTGCTCAAATCATGTTCAAGTATTGAGATCTGACAGGAGAGAACTGGTATATTTAAGAAATCGTCAGGGTGACCTTTCTTTCGACAGTGTTGAGCTGTTTTCATACATGAATTTCGGACATTTTCGGTGAAACTGGGTCAGGAGATTTTCCACAGCTATCCAATCCACCTCAGACATGCGTGCATTACTGGAAATACGTTGCAGGCTTTAAGCGAAGGAGCCTCCTGGACAGGGTGAGAAGAAGCCGGGACGCATGACGGCGACTCACTAGCAGTGAATGCACTGGAAAAATATCTGTACCAGAGAGCTCGCAGACTAAAAGAGCAGCCAATCTCCGACCTAGAGAGCGGTGGACGTTTATCACACTGCGCTTCATTCAAGTTCAGGGCTGCAATGCATTTGTGAAAACTGCTTAATACTATTAACGCTTTGCAAAGCCCCGATTGCCCTAAGTTTGAGCTCTGAAGGCAGACTGTATTACACAAGTTAGGCATGGGCTTTCTGAATTTACTGCACACATCTGAAAGAGGATTTCTACATAGAAATGTATAGAAACTGTGTTGTCAGTGTGTGGGAAAGTAGTAATGGCTGCCATCAGGCCTCTTAAGCCCCAGGTACTGACTGACTAACAGCTGGTAACCCCCCTCCCCCTCCGTCTCTTCCTGAGAAGCCAGAGAGTCTGTAGGCTATCGCTGCTCAAAGAGGCAGATTTCAGCAGGAGAGGCTAAACAACACATTCCGCAGGCACTGCCTATAAGCACCACTCAGCCTCACACACCCTGAAACAACACACACACAAAGAATGAGAGGCAGGCAGCTGAGTGTTGAGGGTCATCCAAGGGGTACTTACCACCTTCAATCCTTTCTTTCAGTTAGCGCTTAATTTGCATGTCTACATTTTGCCCCGTTAAAAATCTGCATCCTCACTTATATGTTTCTATTTCAATAGATTAACTAGTGTCCATGCTATCTTTATGTCAGTGGTTTACCTGACAAGTGTCTGCAGTTCCCAACCAACCAATTTTGAAGTTATTATATTGGCGCCACGTACAGGCTGATACAGATTAACACTAAATGTGGATTTTTTTAATTTTATTTTTTAAAAAAAAATCTAAAAACGTAATTTTAAAGATCATTTTGCAACTAAAAATGTCCAAACATTTGCATGCAATAACAGTAAATTGTGTCTTAAGCATCAGTTATTTCAGTGGAGGACAGCTGGAGACCCGATGGGGTAGTAGTCAGTCCTGTTATGCCACACACTTCTTGGAGGTCTGCTTGAAGACAGCTGTCTGGGTGCATGGCTAGCTGATACATTCGTATGCACTCACCGCGTGCTAACCATCTGATGATAAAATTGATTTTGGTGGGATCCAAGCGGACACTAGCAGGCCCACAGACATGGGAAGTATCATCTCCACCTAAGCCTCTGTTTTATGCTTGTTAACTCGCCTCCTGTCAACATAACTGGCTGAATTCTCACTGCGACTGCATAACTGAGCTGAAAAATAAATAACCACAAAAAAAGACGATATCTGAAAATAATGTCACCTTACTGATGATTTTATCAGTGTGCAAGAAGAACCATAGAATACAGTTTGGGAATGAAGTTTTATAGATATCCTTCCCCAGCTGCACTGCAACACCACAGTGGTGCTTTCAGCTTTCAGCAAGTGTTAACAAAATGTTCTGATTTAGGTTGTTAGTGTAGATATGGGTGCAACTTTAAGATTTAAAAATTGATGCACTCATTTACATGCAGTTGCCCTCGGGTCATTCACATGACCCGAGGGCAACTGATTGAGACACCGATACTGCTTCATCGGAGTAATTGCCGACGTATCGATGATTCCACACAACATTAATCTAACCTATAGATTTTTACATTGGGGGGAAGCTGAATGAGCTCATAGGATGACGGGAGGCGAGAGGTGGAGAGACAGCTGTTTGTTTGAGAGATGGTGCCATCAAATGGTAGGGACTTTTCCCAGAAGACACATTGCCCAGATATACTTTTCACTTCACGTCACCCTGTGGAGCTGGAAAGCACTCTGATGTGGAGTCAGCGTGAGACTCAAAAACACTTTTGCACAAAAACGTAGACTGCCATTTAGTCAGATGGTCATCAGCAGACATACACAAATGCAGGAGATGACACACACACACACACA